GATCTGGTTATACCCAAAATTGTAAGTTCGTCTCTATTTTATATGGCTTTGTCGTTATTCTTGTTGTTATATTTGTTCTTAGATATTCGTATTCATTATCCATTTTCAGCCGAATCACATTTACACATATACAAATTTTTACATTTAAACATCTGTCTATCTGGGAGAAAGATTAATCGTGCATTCATGTTGTGGCGTGAAATATATAGTATTTAGCTACATACATCATAGATAACCCCCTGCGTATTTCTATTTGTTGTTATAATATAGAATCAGAGTTCAAGATCACCTGTATCTCATTAAACATGGGACTAAAGGGAAGGGAAGTGGATGCCAGCCTCCCAGGTGTTTTTTGAGTTATGTAGTGATCTAATCCTGGAAATTCACAATTACGTTCAGCCAATCCCTACTGCATCATGGCAGATGTAAAAGCTTTCATGTGTGTTCGAGGGTTTATTTCAGTTCTTCTTCTGTGTAGCTTTTTCTAATTCTTGAATGATATATACAACTAAAAGATAAGTAAAACGATTATTTTCCTTGTTTGTCTTTTTTCTCGGCTTCCAATTAGGTACTGTTTGCTCCAAGTTCTTCTTCTGTGTAGCTTTTTCTAATTCTTGAATGATATATACAACTAAAAGATAAGTAAAACGATTATTTTCCTTGTTTGTCTTTTTTCTCGGCTTCCAATTAGGTACTGTTTGCTCCAAGTTCTTCTTCTGTGTAGCTTTTTCTAATTCTTGAATGATATATACAACTAAAAGATAAGTAAAACGATTATTTTCCTTGTTTGTCTTTTTTCTCGGCTTCCAATTAGGTACTGTTTGCTCCAAGTATTCTTTCCACGAGGAAAGAATTGACTGGGAAAGAGCCAGGGAAAGATGCGGCAATCAAGAGAATAGTTCACTTGTCTCTATGGAAACCGAAAGAGAATGGCACTTTGTTATGAACTTAACCAAAAAGCGAAAAAAAGAGCGTTGGTTCATTGGTTTGAAAATAGTTGATGGATCGCATGCGTGGTGCTGGTTAAGTGGAAGCATCGCCTACGTCAATGAGAATTCATCAGGAACATGGCGTTGGAATAAAGGAGAACCAAACCATCTTGAAACAGAAAAATGCGTAGAGATGTGGCAAAACGGAAAGTATAACAACATGATGTGCCGGGGAGAACATTATGATGAAAATCCAGGATATATATGTGAAAAGCAAGTCAGTAAGTTTGAATCAATTACAAATCACAGTAAGAAAAAAGAAAGTTGTAAGCGAACTTTGAATTTTAAGCGAGTAACTCGTATTCATATTTTCTTCCTAGTTTGTTCCACCATATCTAACAAATCAGAAAATGATGCTATCTTAATTGAGGGAACAGCAAGACCTCGATCAATCCCCCAACCGTTGGCGACAACGACAAAGTCTTTCACACTTAGAACTGAATTGATGATAACTCGAAATAAGCTGCTTTCAGAAGGTAAGATTTACTTTGATCGAAATTTGACATTTAATATGACCCTACTCTATTGCGCAGTTCTCGTCGGATGTCGCAGTTCCAAACTCCCCTCCGTTCCCGGCCCACTTTAGAAAGGAGAAAACACTAAATATGCATTATATATTGTAGCGGAGCTCGCAGAGCGACGCCCCATAATTATACAAAATAGTAGTAACCCATCAAGCCGAAAAAATTTGGATGTACGACCGAACGACCACAAGGTGCTACTTTTAACATGCGTGGTCAAGTGTACCGCGGGCACGCCAACGCCACGGCTTTGTTCAGTAGTCCAGTGGTCAGTACACTAGGCTCCGAGTCGGACGACTCGGGTTGTATTCCTGGCCGGGCAAGGCGTTGAGCCCTTGAGACGCGCGGGATATATGGTATGGAGATCTCGCAGTCCTTCAGAAAATGTAAATCAGCACTTTGCTAAAGGCGGCTTTGATGGAAATATTAAAACAACGGTTGATTTTTTCACAAAAGTTGTAAATTTATCGAAAAACGTTGTTTATTCAAACTATCATTCAAGCCAGAGTAGCAACAAACCATGTCAGATTGTTCACTTGGTTGCCTTGTTGACCCTTACAAGCTAGTGGTCAACCGGCTCGCGAACATCAGAGTTTGCATTGCTAAGTATCGCTGTCATTTGTATTTCAATCACCGATGCAAAGAAAACAAAGTGCTTGGCCATTGAGTTTGAGATTTCGGCCTCCTGTGCGGAGTACTAAGGGAAAAAAGCTCATGGTCTGTACTGGTTTTTCTTTCTGAAGTTAGGAATAGATGACTGCCAGTTCTATACAGTAGTTGCGTGCATTTTTCTCTCGTTCACTCAGTGAACGCTCTGCTTTGATCAGCAACTCCGAAACCTCGTGGGACGAGGAGTTATGCTGTTCGAAAGAACAACAGACGTTTATCAAACAGAGTGAGGAAGGAAACTCCGCAATTTGCTCTGTAAGAGGTCCCCTGTTACTTCAAGCTCATCTCTGAAAGATAAATGGACCTTCCTCCAAGCGATTATCCGCGTTGGAACGGAGCGGTTCAGAGAAAGGTCTCAAGTTTGCTATCAATGCTAGCAAAAGACCGACTGCTGAAATCTTCGCTGCTTATGAGGAGGGTATTTCTCAACTCAACGACGACCATAGACACTCGATAAGAGCAGAAGTAAGCAGCATACTCAGGCGAGCTAAACTCCTCCCAAAAACATTCAAAATAATGTTTTTTAGACTCCTACCTCCAAAATGGTCTTAACCTCATTCAGTGCATGTGCGACAATGCATATGTGATGTCATACGCACAATAAAAAAAGTCACGAACTTAAAAGATCAAAGGGATTATTATGTACCTTTCTGGTCGTGGATACGAAAAGCGTATAAACAACTATTGTTAGGGGTCATAATATGCAAATTTGTCACTCACTCAGATGTAAACAAGTCGATAAGTCAACGGCAGACTAATTGATCTCGATTTTCCAACCGATTTAGCGCCCGAGTCGACCAGTATCTTTTGATTTGCAGTGAAATATCCCTCCTGGTTACCCACCTCTACTGAGGCAAAGAACTGTACAAAAAAGGAATAAATGAACAAATTGATTTGTCGTTGGAGTAAAGTAATGTTTTGCAGGTTCAGCGTTCATAACAATCAATTTCATGAACTTTAGATGCTATATTGTAATAGGGAAGTGGTTCCATAGGTCGTCTGCATCTTAATTTTGGGCAGAAATTTCTGCCACATAAGATACGCGGAAATATAGATCAATGGAGCGTTCAAGTTTGTGTATGTAAAGTTGCAATAAAATGTGTTATTGAACAAATTTTCTTTAAGGAAGAAAAAAAAAGATAACCGATTCTTCTGGGTGGGTTTGCGGATAAGAGCTTGTGCAAAATGCTACGCCTACAACTCAAAATTTTCAGCTGCACCAAATGAATTTCACTACCATAACGTATATTCTTTTGATTACTTCGCATCATGCCAAAAATGAAAAAAAAAAAATCCATCATGATTTAAAAAAAAAAAAACAACAACAAGAACAGCATTCCCGGCCCTTTAAAATTGAAATAACTTCGTTTAAGGCCGGTTTTTCGTTTGTTATCCGTTGTCTGTGTCGTTGTATTTTGTTTTGACAAAATGAAGGGCATAGTGCTTAAAAAGAAATTTTAGGAAATTTTCCCACATCGGAAACTAAGCAAGAAAAAAACAAACAGAATAAACTTCTGTCAGCTCTGTTCCTTAAACAAATCTTCATTTCAACCTGATTGAACACTTCGACAGTATCTGCTCTAAATTGAGGTCAACAGTAAATTAGCGGAGCTCCAGCGTAGCCCCATAATTATACGAAACAGTACTAACCCATCAAGCCAAAAAAATTTGGTTGTACGACCGTACCACCGTTCAAGGTGCTACTTTTAGCGTGCGTAGCTTGGATACCCCATTAGTATGCGCCAGGAGATACCGTCAGATGATGATAAAGCGCACATACTCGAACGTCGAGCTGCAGTGTAACGTACTGTGGGCACACGGTTAGGCATTGCACGAGGGCTTCACGTGAGTTAGAAGATGTGATTTGCCACCCGCGTTTTGAGCAGGGATTCAAACTGGTCAGGATGTAGTTGAGCAGTAATTCTCAGTATTTTGCAATTTCGAAACAACTCGTAAGGCAATAATACCGGCAGATTTAAGCTTTGTCAACCGGAGGAAATTGTTATAATTCAAGTTCGTGGAGAGAGAGTTTTAATTGAAAATAGGCTGGATATAAAGAGACAGAGCGACCAAAGAAAGCAACAAGTAAACGGCGTAAAGCGAGTCCAGAAAATCGCGCAAGAAAGTTAGAAAGGACGCCAAAATAGGCAGAATACGGCGAGAGGAACGCGAAAGAGAACAATAAAGGGCATAAGTAAAAAGGCGAGTTTCTAGCGAAGAGCAAAGCGAGAAGGAAATACAAAGTCGCTCCTGAAAACAGACTGAAAAGAGGTCATCAACAAAGAGAAGCGAACTACAAGGGATCCGCGAAAGAAGAGGAGGTAAGTCGTGTCTTGTCTGGGTTTTCTCTTACGCTAAGACCCAGAAATGTTTTTTTTTTTTTACCAATCGTCGTTTGATACCAGCTTCAGTTTTTGATTCAACTGATCACGTTTCGGTTAAACATTGACTCTAACATTCATCGCCTAAAGACTCTCACGCCAGTTCATCGCTTGAATAATATTTCATAGTGTTCGTATTCTTCAAGTTATTTCTTGTCCTTTCGTTTGAAAGTTTAATACAGTCGTGGTGTTGTGGGAAAAGAAATTATCTTACGTATTTTGTTTTGCCTAGAAAGTTTTCAAATGATGTCGAACGGCGAGCGCAAGTTTCTACTTTTTTTTCTCTTCAGTTAATTATCGCAGGATATACTCTATTCATTTGAAAAATTTGCGCTTTGCCGAAGATGTATTGTTTTACTCTAAGAACGAAGTAATGGCCTGTACGATCTTCAGTGAACACACGCCATGTTCGATAGAACATGTTTATTACAATATCACGTGATACAATGTAGGTTCGCACTGCGTGCGGAGGAACGGATATTACATCCCTCCCAAACTAAGAAAAGCTTGTAACTCTAAGCGAAAGTTCAATCTTATAACGAAACTAAAATCAACTGTCAATAAGTGTCTTTGTTAAGTTAGCACATAGTCTTTCAAATGTGAGGGCTGGCGCCTTTCCCGTCTGGGTCTCGTCACTACTGGTTTATTCACTGGCTGGTCAGGCTCTGTTCCTTGTTTCCGTTCAGTTTCATGTTCTGGTATTACCAATATCTCTGTACTGGGTGGTTTCTCTGCATTTGCTGTTGTATCAGGTGGTACACTTGGTGGATTCACCTTCTCTGGGATCTCGAGGTCTGGAACTGCCTGTGGTGTTTGTGCTTCCTCACTCTTCTCTGGTTCATCGGAGGTGTTGATAACTGCATTTGCTAGCTTAAATTGGCTGGCATCTCGGCAGACTGTTCGTCCATCTGTGACACGTCTGGCGGTTATTTGGGAACCATGAATATTGCACACAACATAGAACACAGGTTCATAGGGTGTACTCCACTTGTTCTTCCTTGGCTGCTTGACAAGCACATAGTCTCCTAGTAGCAGATTATTCTCTCTGGTCTTTCTCCCTTCTCTCTGTTGCTTCATTTTCTGCTTGTACTCTGCATCTCTGCGGTCAATTAAGTCATACTTCTCATTCCTTTGTGGTTCAGGTTCAATGTAATCCAACTTCGTTCTCACAGATGTCCCCTTAAGGGCTTCATAAGGTGCGACTCCAGTAGCTGGGTGCGGTGTCGATCTGTAAGCAGTAAGCATGTCTTGAACCGCATTTCTCCTCTCAAGACGGTTTTTGCCTTGCAGACTTACAATTTCTTCGGTCTTGTTTAGGGTTTGCATGAATCTCTCTACTTCTCCGTTGGCTCTTGGGTGAAGGGGCGTCACCCTATGGTGCTGAAATCCTTCCTGCTCTGCAAATTCATTGAACTCTTTAGAATTGAACGGGGGTCCGTTGTCGCTCTCAATTCTCCTCGGAGTTCCATAGGTGGCGTAGATGTGCTTCAATCTCTCCTTATTAGTCTGAAAGTCAGTTGATGGTACTGACTCTACCACTGGATATCTGGTTCTTTTGTCAATCAGGACGAGATTGTAGTGACCATCTGGGTATGGTCCACCATGGTCAATGGATACTGTGTCCCAAGGTCGGTTTGGGATGTTGGTCACCTTGATTGGTTCTTCTCTGTTTCCTTTCGTAGCTACTTGACACTCATAACACTGGTCAATAGCTGTGTCGATCATGCTGTTCATCAGAGGGAACCAGTACTTCTCTCTCGGCATTTGCTTGGTCTTGGTTTTTCCTAAGTGTCCTAGGCTGTACCCTAGTCTGACCACTTTTCTCTGGAGTGTCGGCGTTAGTACTATTCGGTGTTCTTTGAAGATAAGTCCTTCTGCAACTGATAACTCCTGCTTCACATGTAGGTAAGGTTCAAGGTCTTTATCTCTCTTGTGTTTCTCCCAGTCCCCTTTAGCGATCCTCTTGGCCAATCGCTGCATGATCTCATCTTTCTGGGTTTCCTCTCTGATTCGCGTGACAACCACAGCATGCTCTGCATTCACGATCCATCGGATGATCTCCTCAGTTTTGTCATCTCCTGTCTCAGGAAGAGGGTGTCTGGAGAGGAAGTCTAAGGGGTCTGCTTCATCCTTTCCTGGTTCGTACACCAACTCATAATCTACGTCTTGCATTTCCATGATCCACTTCTCAATTCTTGGAGGTACCTTGGCCTTTACTTTGTTGAAAAAAGGTATTAGTGGCATGTGAGCAGTCACGATTCTGAATCTGGGGGCTCCAAGTAGGTAAATTCTCAATCTCTCCTTGGCCCATTTGATTGCTAAAGCATCTTTCTCGGTTTGACTGTACCTCTTCTCAGTCTCTCTCATTGTCCGGCTGATGAAATGTACCGGTTGTATGCCTCTGTCTGTCTTCTGGAGCAGGGCTGCTGATAGGCCTTCATTGAAGCTGGCCTCTGTGCGGAGTATTATGGGCTTGCTTGGGTTGAAGTATGCCATAGTCTTTTCACTTGAGATGTTGTCTTGTATCTTCCTGAATGCAACTTCCTCTTGTTTTCCCCAGTGCAACTTGGTTTCTTTTCTGCTTAGCTGGTACAGCGGTGCTGCTATGGTGGCATAGTTCTTGATGAAGTTGTCCAGGTAGCCTGCCATTCCAAGGAAACTTCGCGCTGCCTCTTTGTTCTCAGGTACTCCACATTCTTTGATTGCTCTTACTTTGTCAGGCGATGGCTTCAGTCCATCCTTGGTGAAGACATGATCACTAAGAACTTGCTCTGAGTACCTCGGTTCTTGTTCCGCAATGTTGTGGTGAATTCGCCTTTGACTTTTAGATCAGATTGAAGAGTCTTCAGTGTGTCTCTGCTAGGGTCTAGTTCCTTAATTTCTTGTGATCTGTGTTTGAGGGCCTTGAATTGATATTCATCCATCACATTTGCGCTGGCTCCACTATCTGAAAATCCTTTGACTGATACTCGACTTTCGATATCTTTTAATCTTCTTTCATGTCTTTGACTTGCTGATTGATATCTTCTCTTTGGCTTGCTTCTTCAAGGAATGGATCAAGGTTCCATTTCTTCTGAATGCTTCTTTTTACGAGTTCGCTGTCCTTGATGGTTTGTATCAAGTGTTCCAGGATTCTGTCGTCTGTTTGCTCGCCGAACTCACAATCCTTTGATTTTTCGCGTAGTCGCGCCGCGTATGTGATAACACTCTCTCCTTCGATGGGTCTTTCCTTGCTAAACGTGAATCTTCCGTGATGCCTGTTCTTTTTCGGCAGGAAGCGGTTGTCTAGTTTCCTTTTCAGCTTCTTGTAGTCATCGTCCCCGACCACTGGCGCTGTATCTGGCAAGTTACGTGCGAGTTTCTTGGTTTCTTTGCCGCCATAAATCTTTAGGGTGCTCACGCAATACCCATTATAGCTGTATTCAGAAGCATAGACATGAAGGCAATATGCATCTACTTTATTTTATTGTAAGGGGTTTCTTTTTACGTAACATGTATCCATTCATTTAATTTCCTCCTTAACCTGCCTGCAAATAATTGAATTTTATGTTTGAATTCAAGATAAAAACAGAAGTCTTGCAGAGTTCTTATTCCAGATTGAATTCAGATGAGAACATCAGTAAAAAAGTTAAAATCATATGCTTCTCCTGAATCTTTAATTTATTGCCTCTATTTTTTATCTGTGTGACAGCTAATGATTAAAACCTCAGTGAATAGATATGCTATATTTTAGTTGTTTTTTTTAATTCCATCTTTTTGTTTTTGGCATTTACCATGTTATAATTCATAAATGGCATTCCCTTTTCATCCTTGTAAAGAGATATTGCATATTTCTTTAATTAAAATATGAATTATGAAGTCAACTTAATTTCAATGAGTTTGAAACTTCATTTTACATGAGAACACTTTACTGGAGTATAATGTTATATTTATTTGCTGTCTTTCTGTTACTTTTAATTACCATGTGTGTCTTAACCCTTTTACTCCCAAAATTTCATGAGTAATACTCCTTAATGTCTGCCATACAATTTATGTGGTGTTAAATTTGAGAATTTGGAATTGGATCAACCAATAATCCCCTAATTGACATGTTTTAATTCTTGTTACTTGTCTGCTTTATATCATACTAATAGTGTAAGGGAAGGGGAAATTCTATCTAGGTCAACCAGTGGGACTTAACCCTTTAACTCCCAAGATCTCATTAGTAATTCTCCTTACTATCTCCTATAATGCTTGTGATGTTAGTTTGGAGGATTTAGGAGGATTGGATCATCATATAATGCCCTGACTGATATTTTTCTTTATTCTCATAACTTGTCTGCTTGATATTGTTTTGATATTGTAAGGAGAAATTCTTTCTTGGTCACTCATGGGAATTAAGGGTTAAAATGGGGGATTTCAACATATCTTAATGATTAAAATATTCTTATGCTTTCAAATTTAACAAGAAATGTGATGATAATCTGATGATATGAAACACTTGCAATGGAATAACCTGTTGCTGGTAGGTTATGTCTTTAATGCTTAAATTTTCATGGGAAATGCTTTTCGTTGAAAGTGGGGATACAGAAGTTTTTAAAGCGGATAGAAGTAAGCTGTTTGCAAGTAATAAAAGGCAAATTGACAATAATACCTTAATGCTTGACATGCTTCACTCATACATGTTAGTTGTGTGTACCTACCATTATAGAGGTGTCTTTAAAAAGGGTTTTTTTTTCTACACAAGGCAACCTCCAGGGTGGAAGAGTAGAAGACCACAGAATGATGTTTACTTGGCATTTGTACTTAATGCAATCATATATTCAAGCAGTACTCGACATATATATAACTGATTATATGATGGCTTTAACCCTTTACACCCCAATATCAGAATGCATATTTTCCAAACTGTTCTCTGTATATTTCCTTATGTGCTGGCGAGGAGAATTTGTTTTACAATCAAGAGGTTCTTCAGTTGATTATCATTTCCTTTATTCTCATGAGCTTAATGTGTGACTCAGGGGTGACATTGAATGAAGAAATTAGATGCTAGTTACTCTCAGGAATTAGAGTGTTATTAGCTGTACACATTTTTCGTGTATATGCTCCTCGCATTTGTTGGCAACAATAGCTACGATTGTTAGGAAAGCAAACAAACAAGTGAACAGAAGACAGTGAAATGAGGGAAACTGTAAACTTTTCCATGTGATAGAAAAACATCACAGAATACTTAAAGAGGGGAAACTTGAATTGTGTTAGCTAATTTCCTCTATTGCCATTCATATTTTTGATCAAATAAATTTAACCCTTTAACTCCCAGTTCAAATTTGTAATTCTCCTTACTGTCAACTATACAATCCTAGACAAAAATAAATAATTTCCTGTAAGCATGAACATTTGGGAGAAGGTATGGTAGTAAATGACCCTTCTTCTGCTAGGATGTATAGGGTCTGATGATTGTCATGTATGTCTTTTCGCTTTCACACTTTCAACTTTGTATTAACTGTAGCTGTTTACCATATCTATTCTCCCTTCAAAAGTTGAAGCAGGCGAGTCAATAACCTGACTTGGTTTGTTTGGAATTGTGTGATTCTATAATTTTGCTGTGTAAGTTACCATACTGTAACATGTGATATTATTATTTAGATTACATTAAATACAATAGCTCAAGCTTTCACTAGTGCATGGTGTTTCTTACCAATGGTCAAACCCAAACTGAACATTGAAATAAGGAATTGGTCACAAGATATGTGAGTTTCAAATGGTGGGAATCTGGAAAAATGAGGATCCTCCTTTAACCCTTTCACTCCCACAAGTGACCAAGACAGAATTTCTCCTTAAAATATCAATACAATGTCAAGCAGGTAGGTGATGAGAATAGAGAATAATATCAATTATGGGATTATTAGTTGATCCCAATACCAAATTCTCTGAACTAACATCATAAGAATTGTATGTCATAAGAGATTAATGGTGGCCCTCTTATTTTAATTCATGTTTTTAATTTGACCTGCCTCCTCCCCTGTATCGTTTAGGGCACATAGATGAAGAGAAAATTGTTTGTATTTTGATGCATAAAAGTTAAACTACCAGTAATTGGCATCCACATAATCACAAAGCAAGAATGTAAAGCTTTAGCTTAATTGGTTAAAAAAATCAAAATAAGAGGATTTTACAGACCGTGTCTGACTTTTTATCCTGGTTCTGGATA